CATCATTGCTAGAATTGGAATTGAAACATGCTTCAGAACAAAAGTGTGTATTATAGATCTATAAGTTGAAAAAACTGTGGTTGCCTGTGAGGTTTAAGTTTTAAGTGTCTGTGCTCACCAGTCTTGTTCTCTCTCTGCGGGACAGTGTGGTTGTGCAGCAGCAGGATAGTACGGTTGGTTGCTGTGTCCAGGTCCTCCTCTTCCCAGGCCGAGTCAAGCTCGCACTCCGGCTTCAGCAGCCGTAAAGTCACATGACCCACAAGCACAGCTGGAAGGAGGAAAAAAAAGACGATTAAAATTGACTTGCGCTGCTAAGACAGTTCTTTGTTTATCAAAACAATCAAAAACAGGCCAAGTACCTATATGGTGAAGGTGCTTGGGCATAAGGCACACTCCGATATCCAGGAAGAGTGGCTGGACGCGTGGAGCAGCCAAAGGGGAGTGTAGCAGGGGCAGTAGGACCTGAAGGGCAGCAGGGAGCTCTTTGGTGATCTGCGCTGGTCTCTCTATCAAAACAGCTTCCAGCAGACCCACCACGCTCTGCAGCTCCAAATCCAGCTGGGGACAGAAAGGTGAGCCACAGGCCAACGAGAGGACACCGTTAGAAAGCCGTGCTTCAGGCATTAAAGAAATCATTTTAATCTTTACTCCAGATTTGTTGCATACCCCTTGGAGTCTTTTGCGAATAGAGGTCTCCTTGTCAAGCTGGATTTGCATCATTTCCTTCTGTTTGCTGGTAAGCTGCACCTCCTCTTTGATGCCCTTTTTCTTTTTGAGCTCCTGTCAAAATGAAGACAAATCAAAACGATGTTCCAGACGGAATCACCTCCAAAGAACATTGATGTTGATTTGTGAACTTTACCTCCTGTAACTCCAGTTCAATGATCTGATCCTTGTAGGAGTAGGCCTTGTTCTCTCTCTTTAAGTTTCCTTTCTTGGTGGTTTCCTTCTGGGCACTGTAGAGTGTAGAGGTAAGACAGGAGTGAATAAAGGACAAGAGGGCCATATGGCCAAAAACGATATCAAGAAAGACTTTTTCATCTCAGTCTATATAAATAATAACCACAATAAATGTCACATTATTGTTTCATTTAAGTTTCAAGACTGATGTTTGCTCCTGAGCAGTGGTGAACTGTACATTTCCCTATGGTTGTTCTGGCCTGCCTTGAACAGTCAACCTGACCAGTGATAATATAGCAAGCAGGAACGAGACGCACATAGCAGCCACAGATATTACAGCCCCGCTGTTTAAAATCTTTGTAGCAGCCGACAAGATGGCAGAGAGCAGAGAGTTACTGCGCCACCTACTGGTTCACTAGTGATAATTACTTACTGCTTACTCCTACTGGTCTGCTTTATGAAAACCAGTGAGTGACCATTGTAATCTAAAACCTTTTACTTACTTACATTGTTGAAGCTTATGTTAACTTTATGTGAGTGTGTGTGAAGTTTTTGATACTTGTGATATGCTTGATGCTTGAAAATAAAGTTAATCATTTGAACTTTTGTGTGTGATTATGATTGATGACTTTTGTCATATTGCTATTGAAGACAATGAAATCATGATATTTTATTGCGTTGCCCAAAACGATGAAATAAACTGAAGAAAACTTTGGAGATTGTTGAGGTCAAAGTCAACCGTGGTTTTAGAGACTGTGTGTTACCTCTGGATGATGCTGTTGTCATACAGTTCTCCCTCGGGTGTCAGCATGATGGCGTATTCCTCTCTGGTGACCTGAAGGAGAGCAGGTTGGGAGAGTCCCTCTGTGATATGACTTATCACCCGCGGTAACAGCTTGTTGGGGGAGAGGCTGGAGAGAGCCCCAACAGCATTTTTCGTTGCCTGGGGAGAAAAAAATGTGAGCTGTAAACATCCTGGTATCATGTCACATAAATAAGTATGAGTCAAGACAAATGTGTTCAGCAAATGATGTAAAAATGTTTTAACCAGTTATGCTGCAGCAGTCAAGTACACTTAGTATTCTTATTGTGTATAACTCTCACGTGACAGCGGTGTATTATTATCAGACCTGGTTGTCAGCATTGACATCTAGTAGATGAGGCAGGATCTTCTCCAGATTGTTTTCGATAAATTCCTCTGCTTTTATCTTCATGGAGGAGAGCAAAACAGGCCAGATGCCTCGACGAGCTTCAACTGAAGGAGACACATGGAGTAGATAAGATGTCAAGTACAGGACAGAGTACTGATGCAATATCCCAGAGTCATTAAATTACAAAAACGTAGCAGGATGAAATTAGTTTATATGACTCATACTTATGGAAGGATGATGAGTGATTATCATGATCTCCATGGCCAAATTCTCTGCTTCGGTAGGGTCACCCCATTGGCTGGCAGTGGAGCAAACCACACACAACGCCTCCAGCAGAACACGAGGGGGGATGTAGCTGCGACCCAACTCAGTGGGCTCTCCTGAGTCTGACACCAGGACTTCCTGGGGCAAAACCTGAGAAATTACATCAGTCAGTAGAAAAAATAAACTCACTTTCAGTAGATGTGTAGTAACTACTGTAAATATATTTTTGAGGACTAAATCTGAATAATCAGTGTGTACTTTGTGCTTGTTGATGACCACACAGAGTTCTCCCAGAAGGCCGTAGGCAAGACTGGATCCACCCAGAGAGGAGAGCAGCTTCCTGACCGTCTGCTGTGCCCTCTTCCTTACACGCCAGCTCAGAGACAGCAGAATTGCAACAGTGGCGTGGTGATACATCCTACAGAACACAGTTACACGCAGGAAACATCAACGAGTGATTAAAGTGCAACAGGAAAGTAAATTAGACAAATGTGTAAGGAATCTATATTGTGTATTTTCCCTGCAACAAAACTACATTGGATCTCATTTGGACATAATGGAAATATACAATAATCACAACCAACAGCAGCTCACTGAAAAAATATCATTCATAATTATGTGACAGTCATTGTATTACAACTATTATGAAGGAGGTTAATATGGATGTTGATATACTTGACAATATGAGTACTTGGATCTATAAACACAGTAAAAAAAGTAAAAGTTGGGTATGATACATTATAATGTATTCTAATGGACACATCTTATCTAATGACACCTATGTAATAATATAAGTATTATAAGGAATTCATTGTTGTTTTAATAGTAGCATCCTGCGGAGGAGAAAAAGTGGCTGTCAACTCTATAAATAAATAACTTGGTATCTGCTTACAACATTTTATGTGTTATAAAGCTTTTAAAATATGTATTCAATGTTTATGAATGCTAAATGAGGAGGATTAAAATAGTCTATCAATTTGCACTAATGCAATTAACAGCTATCTTCTTGAAGTATGGGTTTGATTGAACACCATAATTCACGTCCTGCGTTCCTCCTAAGAGTTGGTAAGTTCTAAAAATGTCACTATGCATCCAGATGATACAGTTCAGCACATGATTGTATGACAATAACAATAGCACCACACCACTGCTGCTTTTACTGTCGTGATTAAAATGCTAACTATAGTGTCATACAGGAAGTACATAACTCCATTAACGCTCAACAGTCCCCCTATGAAACCACATTTAAACTCACTAGATCTGGATTTTGAATTTGGAATCATGGAAAATGTCAAAAAGACACAATGTTAAAGAAAGTGAAAAACAAATCCGGGATCCGACCCTGGATCCTGATCCAAAATTTGATGTGTTCTTCCCTGATCCATACCACATCCTTTTACCAAGTTTTGTGGTAATTGCAAATGAAAACAGAACCTCGTTGGCGGAGGTGACAGTACGGACAGCTTCTGTGTCAGCGTTTAGTTAACTGTAATTTACATGAAAACATTCCATTATCCAGCAATACTTTAAGACATCTGTAGGGCAAAGGTTATATGCAGGTTATTCAGAGGACAGACTCACTTTGATTTGCTGCTGTTGAGTCTGTGGGCGTGGTCCAAAAAGAGCCGTTCACAGAGCAGTAGTACTGTGAGTAGAGCTACACAACAGTGGCAGAGACAGAAATAATCCATCATTTTAGGTTTTGACATTACCAATCACTCTTGAGCTTCTGCAATGCTGATATTAGGAAATTATATTGCCATACTTTCTTCACTGGCCTGGGAGAGGAACTTCTCTGCGGTGAATAGTGGCTTCTTCTCATCTAAGATGACGTTCCAGAAGTTGGTGAATTTAGCTTCTGCAGAGACAAAGAATCTGCATCACTTACCATCCTCCTTCTCCAACAGTGATTGATAAATTGTTGAAATGAGAGCCTCACCTGTCTGTGTCTCCAGCAGAGCCAGTCGACTCAATAGAACAGAAGCTGCCACACCCTCTGCAAGCAAAGCATGCTGGGAGCTTTGGGCCACTGCCTTCTCCACCGTTTGGAGGAGCAAAGGCAAGAGGTCCGAGGCCTGTGCAAGAGTGTCACCTAGTCATCAGGGAAAAGAAATGTGGTAAGTAGTTTGACCTAAACTAATGCATCTGGAGATGGACATTTGACACGTGGTCTAATCTCCCTAGTGTCACTGACCTTTAAAGACCCCCAACATGGCCTGAAGGTAGGTGTGTCGAACCAGAGAGGTGGAGGTCTTGAGGGTAAAAGCTTTCTTCATCCAATCCAAGAGAGCAGTTGGAACTTCTACTGTAAGGCGACTACTCCACTGGGAGAGCACGGACACTGCATGCACCAAGGTGCCCTCATGAACTAAATTAAGTAAAAGGTAAAGTTAGTGCTAGAATGAAGCAGTGACTTTGCAAACAATTTCCAGACTCATGGCATAAAATTGTATTTTAGGTTCGGATTGTCTTGTTTTCATGGAGTTGATAAGTCTGCAGAGGATTCTGGCAGGAAAGAGAGGATGAGAAAACAGAGCAGTGATACCTTCTTGCTGTAAATAAGGGATGAACATCACAGTGACTGCAGCGCTCAACGTCTGGCTGGAGGTTCCTGACACGGCATGATGGCTGCAGCTGGCAATTCCTACGACAAGACACAAATTAAGTTGAAATATGTCTGTGTCCATTTCTCTCATGCTTACATCATACCTGAAAGTACCCCTCACCTGACAACACACTCATCTTCTGGGCAACAACTGTGAGCTTTCCCTCAGACCCTGAAAACGCGAGAATTGTGCGTCAGCTGAGCAAAACCAAACATGATTGAGACAATACTTCATTCTACAGGGTAATTAAGTTGTTGACCTCCGAGGATCTTGAAGACGTGTGTGACCATGTCCTGCACTGCCGTGGAGTCGCTGCACTGCTGAGCCAGGTTCTGCATGGCCTGGACCGCATCCTCCATCAGCTGGGCATTATTGGCTTTAAGCTGACCTGAAACCCAAAACGAGCATGTTTATATACTCTAAGCAGAAGGTGGGTGGTTCAACTCCAGTCTCCAGACTGCATTCCAAAGTGTCCTTGGGCAAGTTACTCCGATGCTACACTTTGAGTGGTCTTCAAGATGAGAAAAGCTCTATATACAGTAAATACAAACGCTTTAACTACAGACCATTTGAGTTGTCATTAGGACTGGACAAAAACGCTATATAAATACAGTCCATTATGATGGCTAATTAATTCCATAAAGGTCTTACTTGCTATGGCCTTCCCGATATCCATGGCATACTGACTGAGGTCAAGAGTCACACTGGACAGCAGGCAGGAAATGGCTAGAAAGAGACCAAACAATGTATTAATCCACTATCTGAGAGCTGGCTGAGCATTAAATATTAAACAAAACATCAGGAAGATGACTTACTCTCCATGGCGTTCTCTGGACTACGCAGCATTGTCTTCTGCAGGATAGGGAGTAGCTGCTCCTTGAACTCAGAGTGGGACACATGACGCAGTAAGGAGCCACTTTTTTCCAAAATGTGCTGTTGTGGTTTTATCTTGCTCATAAGGACAGATTTAACATACAGGTCCAACAGGGCACTCTGAAAAACAGCACACATAAGTTGAAATGTTGCTGCTACTTTTGCAGCAAATGGAAGGTTACAAATCAGGCAGGATCAAAAAAGGGTTACCTTATGCTTCTCTATTGTAGCTTTGTCTTTCTGAGCAGTGCAGAAGTCTACACACACCCCCAGCATGGCCAGGGTTGTAGGGCTTTGGTCCAGACTCAGCAGTGTGCTGAAGTACTGATCCACCAGTCCAGGGTTCTGTGAAACAAAACACATGTCAAACTTACTGAGCGCACACATAAGGATGCATGACTGTCACTATGATATTAAATTTGATTAATTTTGAAGGCCCACAGAAAATCATTTGTTCTGCAACCAGCATTAGCAGTACAATTTACCAGTCATTGTTAGCTGCAAGCTTATTTCTAACACAGAAAGTTCAATCTTTTTAAGGGACTCTTTCTAAATGTGGATTCAATGTTACAAACATGTAGCTTATTAAATATAAAGTCACTCAAAGACAGATAAATCAGTAGATGACAATAGCCTTTTTGATAAGCTTGAGGGGATTTAAGCCCAGCTTTTCTGGCTTTTTCTACAATAAATGGAAACATAAAGCATTCACTCCCAGGTCAAATGACTCTGCAGTAGACACAGGTTTTAATTAGCTCCTGCTCAGATCAGCAGTGATGGAAACGTGACACCGGAGTGAATGCACTAATCTGGCATGGCAGCGAGGTGAGAGAGTATCTCAGTACCTACAATAGAAGGTTATTTGGGCTTTTTTCCCAGGTAAAAGCTTTTAATTTTGTAAAGTAGTTTTTCCTCACTGTCATTGAGGATCAAGGGCAGAGTATGTCGAACCTTTTTAAGCCCTATATATACGGAAATATGAGCTATACAAATAGAAATCTGTTTCACGATTGATTATTACTTGGTGTTAAAAATGCACTGGGCTGTAGACCTCTGCTTCACACAAAAATGAATGACAGAACTGAAAATGACAATTCAGGCTGATCATAAAATAGATCCTCCCTTCTGACAAGATCAACTTGTGTGTCTCGACGACCAGTGTGTATGGCACTCACTTCCTTCCAGAGGTGACTGAGATTTTTCAGACTTGATTTCTGAGCGATGGTCTTGGCTCCACCCACAACCTCTGCGACAAGAAGGCTCTGAACTTCCACCTACAAGAGAGGGTAATAGGCCATAACGTTACACCCACATCCGAGATAACCACGGGAATCCAGCCACATGTGGAGATATTCTGAGTGTCAGTGACATTTCACACCTCTGGGAAATCTGTATGACTCTAAACTTAGAATATTTGCTTCAGAAAATAACAATATCAATGGTGTTATTTATGTTCAAAAAGTCAGAAACGTTCACTGACCATTTTCTTCCAGATGGGTCCCTCTCTTTTCTCTGGGGCAGAAAACACAGTGGGGACTAAAAGGATTGTCCAAGACAGGCCGATGAAGGCAGCAGAGCCTGAGCTTTTACTGAAAATATAATAAGTAAAACATTAGAAAGGGGGAAAAACAGGGTAACGTAGAAACAAATAGACTCCTTAACAAACGTACCTGTTTTCATTTAATCAGCTGTTTGTTTCTATTGTTTCTTTTTATTTGTATCTAAACTATTAAAAAAATGTTCTATTGTCTGCTGTTTGAAGTAAGAAATACTGTTTCTTATTCTAAATTTTCTCTTTTTATGAAAATATAATATTATAATAATGTTCATTGCTTATCCTGTTTATCAAACACAGAGGGACAATGACAGATAGATGCTGACAATGCAACTATAAACAGTAGTTCAGACAGAGCAGTACCTGGGCTCTCCACTTTTGCTGATGACTCCACTGTTGAGCAGGCAGTGGAGGAGGCTGGTGACCAGGATGTCCGGCTGACTGTCAGCCAGCAGGCCAATGACAGTGAGCAGCTGTCTGCGTGATGCAGCATCCCTGTCAAGCACACACATCAATTATGCTAACAGTTGTTTGTGTTAGTTTGTCCAACACATTTCTATCTGAGTAGGTTAAGTAGCATAAAACACTTCCCAATGCAACACACTTCAACAGCACAACAAGCTGCAAATAAAGATTTAGCTCAAACTCATGCAGTGTAATACAACAGTCCAATTATTGCAGGACTGTTGGACTGCATTCATATGGAATGAATAGTTTGGAGCCTCAGGAGGAAGAAGGGTCTAGTAATCCAAAGGCTCCTGGTTCATATACACTGAGCCCCAACTGCTCCTGATGCTGCGTTTGTTAATGGGTGACATAAGATGCTTTCAGATATGCACTGAACTCAGGATAATCTCTGGAAATTAACCAAAAGGGCTGTATGTGAATGCAAATCTCAGTAAGTGTTGATGAAGACATAAACTCCTGAGAATATAGCAGGAGATTGTCTGGAGGATTCACTGCAAGCCAGTGCGGTGTGTTGATGATGTTTCTTACATGCAAATAATCCAATTATCTCAAAAACAAGACTCCAGAAGATGCCAACAAACATGTCAACTTGGAAAAATTAGATATGAGATCTTTTGTTGTTAAAAACACGTGATCTCCGCAGAATAATTCGCACATTGCCACACGGGCGCCAAACTGCAACCTGAACGCTCTGGAGATTTTTTTGTTGTTGTGAATGTGTCTGACTTTCTTCTACTATATTCTTTATATGTGAAAGGCAAACTCCGGAGAAAGTCTGGAACCCATTGCACTTTGAGTGGCAGATTGAGTAGAAATAATCATTTACCTTTTGAATAAACTGAACCATTTAATGGGAGCATTACACAGTGTCAAAAACAGTTTTCCTGCATGTGAAAGTTAGTACATGAACCTACCGATATCTGTGTGGCGTGAGACAGAAGAGCTTGCATAGTCCCTTGATGGCAGGCTCTGGTAACTCTAAAAAATGTGTTTTGAAGAACCATCAGTTGTAATTACATCACCATTTTTATCATCGTCATGTCAAAAATGTAATAACACAAAATCCTCAAACCCTCACCTTTGCCCTGTAGACACCGTTTCAGCTCTCCAAATATCTCTTTGCGCTCTTTCACGCTGGCTGTGGTCACTTTTACAGCAAATTTTTTCAGCGTATCTGAAACCTGAAGCAACAAAGCACAGTTAATATGAGAACTGCTGTGATGACTTCAGTGAAGCAGACAGCAGCAGTGACATCTTCACTCAGACCCACAGCCAAGCACCAAAAGAGATTCAGTTTATTCTCCTGTCTAGAACCAGGGGGCAATTTGACTCGAGGAATGCCTTCAACAAGCGGCTGATTTTCTGTCTGTCTATCGATATAAATTGTAAAGAATAAGTCACGTTATCATGAGATTTCCTGCTTCTCACAGAAAATTATAAAAGTAACTCTCAAGCCATTGCATATATGGTCATAGATGATTAGGCAATCAGAGGAATAGATTGAATCTTAAATCTTACTTTGCATTTTTGGCTCAGAGGTATGTTATTTTGCCAGAACAGATAATGTATGTAATGTAACTATCATTTTGCGTGTTCCCTTTACTTGTGCAAAACAATCACATCTCATGAATGACTAACATATATATATATACACATAAATATACACAATGTATAAATACATGAATAAGGATTAAAACCATAGGAACGAAAATCTGCTCTCAGACATCCGGCTGTTTGATGACGAAGAGCATCAGAGAAATCTGATAAGGTATATTTAGTTACAAACTGATTTTTAAAGGCAACGAAAAAACATCCCTATCCTGTGCAACACTTGAATCAAAGCTAAAAATGTGGAGCACTTTGTAAATGTATTTTGAGAAGTGCTGTGTAGATAAAAGACAGCTATTAGAGTTTACAGTTGATGCACGACTAATTCCTACTGTTGTAGTAACCCTGATAAATGTCAAATAAAAGCTTGTCAAAAGTAGAAAACGGCTCTCTTCTTAATTGTACTGAGTCAGTGAATATAAGAATGAAAAGGATGAACACGTTACTTTGTGGAGAGACTATGTATTCACATTTCTTTTAATAAAAATACACTGTGTAGTCAACAATGAGGGCCTTGGTTTACTTTAATCAACTGGTGGTCGACAAAGGAATCCTGAGCAGAGTTCAAACTGTCTCTGTGCTTGTCACCACCCTGGGTTTAATATAATAATAATAATAATAATTTATTATGGTCCACTGCTTGTGGAGGACCGAGGACGTAGCTTACTGACTCATCATCGTTGAAGATGCTTGTTGGATTGATTTGATTAATACCAACTCCAGTCGATGACAGTGAGTTAAAGCCCCTGATCAGACCCACAGCTCAGACACCAGTCCCCTGTCTCCTCCACACACCCAGGCTACGTAGCACTGAGCTAGCAGGCGGCTAGCTAGCCGCTTGCTAGCTGTCGGTGAAGTTTTCCCACTCCAGTTTCTCGACGAACAAAAAACAGACACCAGCGAGTTTATTAAGTGGCACTGGATAAACCTGCGCTTAGATTCCCTTCATATATGATCATCATTCAGTAAGCTGATAGCACACTACAGAAAAAACAGCCACACAAACCTGCGTGTCCGCAGCCATCTTGCCGGTCTTGATGCAGGAAGAACTTCGTGAGGTCACTTCCGGGTTACACAAGCTACGTAACCTTTTTTTTTACCTTTAATATAATCAATACTATTTTATTATCTAAATTATATATCATCTGTTTATATTATCTAAATTATATATCATCTGTTTATATTATCTATGTATTTGAAATGATCTGTTTATACTATCTTAATTATATATCACCACTCTATGTTACCCATTTAATACATCATCTGTTTATGTTATCTAAATTATATATCACCACTCTGTTACCCATTTAATACATCATCTGTTTATATTACCTGTATTATATTTGATCTGTTTTTATTATTAAGAAAGCAGTCCCCAGTCAGTTGCTTGACTTTCTTCATAAACATTGGATCACTAGAGTGCATCATAGCACAGCACATCCCGTTAGACTCAGGAACATTTGATTGTTTTTTGCTGGTGAAACTTCTATCCATTTATTCTTTCAGTGAAAACAACACAATTTTGGTGTGAATACAATTCTTGTTAAATTGTTATTCTTTTTCTTTAAATTTGGAAAATACTTTATTCATAGGCAGCCCTCTTTTTGATTTCCCCTCTCTTTAAATTTCACTCTATGCTCAACTCCCCGCTGCTTACAAACAATGAAAAATATATAATTCAAGATAGTCTGATGGCTACATGTTGACTGCACTGTGTGAGACTGATGGTTCTGGTTTTAAAAATAATGCTTATAATAGTGTGGCTCTAAATAGCAACCAACATGTGTGGTTATGAAACTTCATATGTGGTCTGGCCAAGTGTTTACATAAACTCATTACATCTGCTCTGCATATTTCTCAATTTCCCACAAGGGGTCAGTGTTATACTCTTTGTCAAAACTGCAGATTACATTAAAAGCTATAAAATACATTTATCAGGATTGTCTACTGTCAGTTCCAGGCCCAAACTTTCTTCTCAGGCTTTCTTCTATACTGGTACAACAATTGGAATCATTTTTTTCCAAAAACTGAATATTTAGGCTCTACAGTAAGAAGTTACATGAAAAACTGTTGTCAGTGGTTTGGATATTGACCAAGCGATTGTGTGTAGTGGATTAGATTAGGGGGAGGCAGTAGCTCAGTCCGTAGAGACTTGGCTTGGGAACCGGAGGGTGGCCGGTTCAAGTGTTCAGCCTTCATGGCTGCCCACTGTTCCGTGTGGTCACTGTGTGGATTTTGTTCCGTGTGTGCTCTGTTCATACGGATCAGTTAAATACAGAGGTCAAATTTCCCCATGTTTGCATGTTGCATGCTGTGTGTGGGACAATAAAGAGGAATCCTAATCTTAGATTTGATTTTGGACTGGTCTTCTGGCAAAAAAAAACAAATGGAATAATTAAAACTCACTCAAAGATTTAAAAAAAACACATTTTAATAATGAAGGCAAGTTTGTGAACATTTGATTTTAAGCAGCTGAACGTTTGCATTACTCTTTCCCATCTGAAGCTAATGATTGTTATTTACCAAATGTATCAAATTTTTGTTCTCTTCTGTCCTCTTGTACAAACACTTGTCTCTCCTCAAATCATTGCTTAACTTGTCAGGTGACATGGATTCCGTCTTCATGGTGGCAGCTTTCTGCTCCTCTGAGGTGTGCACTGGAACGGGAACAAGCATGTACAAGCAAATAGGACAACAGTAGCAGCATAATGATGTCTGGTTAAGAATATCAGTAAATCGTAGTGGGGTGATGCCAGAACACTTTATTTATACCTAATTGTAAAATATCTTTATGATAAAGAGTTCTAACAGGGAGGGTAGTGGAGTGGTTTTACTTATTTCAATGGATTTTAAAAGACTTCCAATCCATGTATGAACTGGCGTCTCATTCCACTGTGGTCCAGACAGAGGCACGACTTTGGGAAAGATATACTAAAGAAAAGAAGCAGCCAAGCAATCAGTGGTACCATATAGATTGAAAACACGTAAGCATACTCCCATAAATATCTCTAAACGGAGAAACATCACAGAATGAGCAGTTCAGGCAAGATGCTTGAGTCCAAGAGGTCGGACATCTCTTTTCCTGGATGTTTTATCTTTATCCCTTCGTCGCAATATCTTCTTTCCTTTGATCAGGAGAGCATCAAGGAGCAACTGTCCTCATGCGCTATCCCACAATAGCAAAGATTATAAGTCCGACAATGACAAGTGCTGCTACCACTCCGATGCCAATAAACACCACCTTCATCTTCTTGTTCTCCCATCTTTTCTTTTGCTTCACCTGATGGCTGGTCTTTTCAAAGGCTCTACTCTGTGAAGAAAAACACAATGAGGAGGTTACATTGCGTCGTGTTAATTATTTTACGTGACTGATATTCATACACATACGCCAGGATACAACAATAGAGGCACAAAGCCAGCAGACTAACTTGTATAAGATTTTGTAAGTCAAATTACAACTTACTCATCTATAATGAACTTTAAAGGTATACTACTATCAAGAGTACATTTAGAGTAAGCATTTACAGAGATTTCCCTACTTTGCCTTTCTCAAAGCAATCATATAAAAGTTTTGTATATTAACAATGGATAACACAACTACTTTAGTCTGCCCACGGATCAACATAAAAGGTCACATCATTTTCACATTGCTCCGTTAACCTGTGTCTGTTCTTTTAGTTCAGAGAAAACCACATAAAAAAGCTGCTGTTTAATGCTCACAGAACTTTAACAATAGACCATATCACATGTGATTTGTAATGAACCCACAGAAAATTATCAACCAACTCTGCAGTCTTTTTTGTTTTTCAGTTGACGGTTGTTTTTTTAGTCCTCACCTTTTTGTACTCAACCTTCTAAGTACCAAAAGGCAGTCAGACAAAGAGGGGAATGGTTTTAGAATTTAGCAACTGAAGAGTGAGTTATTACCTTCTGGAATTGTAGGACAGGAAAACAGCGCTAAAGGAAGTGTGTCAAGTGCTACTTACTAATTCCACAGATGTCTGTCTGTCTTTCTGTCTGTATGTCGAACACATATCACACAAACTTGTTGATCGTAGACAACAGTTTCACTGCAAATAAAACCGGTCTAACAAAAGAAAAGTTCTTAACTTCACTCTGCACCAAAGACTGTCCAGCACGCAAACAATAAAAAAGTGACAGTATATTGTAAAAGTGTTTGAAAAGGACTCACTAATGGAAATTCTGAAGTAGACTCCGGAGTGTATCAAAGAAGCAGTCTTTCTTTAAATCATAATACACATGGATTACTCACTATACGGAAAGGGAAGATAAAACAGAAATTGTTAAGAGCATTCATCTGTAAAATTATTAAAGAAGTCTCTGTCTGTCAGAGATCTTTGTGGCGAAGATTTAGAATTCTGTGGACTGAGCAGGTCCCTACTTGCAGCGGCTCTGTTACTGCAGGCCACTTTACAGGCAAAAGTAAACAACCCATTCCAAACTGGCAGGTTTAGAACAGGCTCTGAATTAGTTAGACTTAAATTCATTACATATTTACAAAACGACTCAAGTAATTACAGCTGGTTCTTGCTGCCTCCAACGAAAGTTGCATTTTTTTCAACACTTGGCATCAGCGGAAAAAGTTGACACAACACTACTGAATGAACTTGTTATAACTTGTTGCATAATTTGAAATCAATATTTATCCAGCATACAGAACATTAGCGTGATTTGCGGCCATGGTTCTAGACATTGTAAGAGTGTCTGTCTGTGCTTTGTGGGTAGCAAACAATGCTCTTATCCTCTGCTGGTGAAAAACCACTCACATAAGAGTCCGAAAAAAACAGTGAAAGGTGGAGATGCACCACAGTGAGCTAAAAGATGCTGTGGGGAGCTGCAGGGTCTGATGGGTTTGTCAATGCAAGCTACCCCTCTGAGATCCCATGTAGTCACTTGATCCATTGTTATGAAATAACAATGTTGATTGGTACATCATGGGGCCACATTTCTATGGTCTCATTAAAAACGTGAGTGAGACTGAGCCTGAGACTGAAACTTTAGCTCGAGAGCTGCGTTCCCAGTTGCTAAAATTAAGAGTTGCTGTTTTTGAGAACTGCTCAACAATGTGATATAACACAGGCAGAATGGGCAATGTGGGAATGATGTGACCTGCTTTCTGACCCCCGGACGGACATTCGTCTCGTGGCATGTCCTGGACTCACTCTGTCATACCCAGGGAGACCAGCTCACTTCATTCATCTTAGGAAACAATAGGAAATACCTTTCTAAAAATAGCACCATAAAACACAATCAGGATGTAAATTGTACATTTGTTTTCCTCTCCAGCTCCACCTAAAGTGTATTTATAGACATCAATATGATATTTCCTGGTTTCAATCCCTAGACGCTTTAGAAATGATGTGTTTGTGCCATTTGCTGGACTTATTCACCTTATCCATCCAACACAGAGACTTCCACTTACTTTAAATAGTCTAGTTTATTTTCTCCACAACCCTCCCTGCATACCTTTTCCAGCAGCACATCTGCCCTATCTTCCAGTTCACCCAGTTTGCCAGATCGCTCTTCAGCCTTGTTCAGGTTGTCCAGCATGATGACCTTCACCTCCTCCACCTCCTCCTGGGTCTGCTGCAGGCGGTTCTTCCCATTCTCCTGTCCAATCAACACACGTAGCATAGATTAATCTCGCAGCCTTTTCAAATTCATTTGCATGCTTACATTGTTTGGGCTTTAGTGAAAATAACAAACACAATGGGAGTTTCTTCTTGTTAACACCCAGTGACAGCTATGTGTTCCATGAGAGCATTTCCCAGCCACCCGGATGTGACACATTTTATGCTATAGCATAAACAAAGGAAGTAAATTAACGAGGATAGTTAGCCTGAATAGTCATTATAATCTGTCTCTTGTGAGCCCATCAAAGTTATTTTTTCATGTCATCTGTACCTTTTCCATACAGAACAAGTAGCTCTGGATAAAAGGATAAAATATGTGCATTTTTGTATTTCTTAGGACAGAAATTTTGACTATATATTAGTTAGTTATGAGCTTCTTTTGAAATGTGATATCATATCGTATTTCCTTCATGTTTTCTGTTAGCGAATGTTTTTATTTTCGTTAAGTTAAGAAATTTCAGCTTGTCTACACAGACAACTGAAATCTGCACTGACACAGATCACCTGTTTTATATACACAGCAATAATCTTGCAGTGAATTTTGATGTCATTGCACTTGAAAACAAGAGTCCACTCATTTGTTACTCTATGATTCAACTAATTATTATTGAAGCATTCAATGGAAAATAGAAGACCAGAGAAGCTGGTTATGAAACATGTAAATAATAAAGTAAAGCAGGACAAGTTTTCCCACAGTTTCCTCCAAGATTATGATCTTGCAGCCGTCTGCTATGACGATAAAGCAGCACAAGAGGACAACAGTGTACGTAAGCTCAGCAGCAACAGCCTGTGTAGGTTTGACCTTGGAGTAATTAATAACCTGACCGTTCCCCGTCACCTTTGCTCATGAGCTATGTGAGGAAACCTGCATCTCAGAGGTTAACAGGAAGAGGACAGCAACAGATAGAGAAAAAACCCACAACAACAATCTCAACATCTTCATTCAGTTCATAATTCACTGTCATGAGGAGGTTGTTTTTCATTTCCTGTGAAGGGAAAGTCTTTACATACAGGATGAGCGACATCCTGTATGTAAAGACTGCACAGCTTCACAGTCAGACTGTGAACCAGGCTGAGAATTGTCATCTTGTGGACAATTGTTGAAACCTGATTGACAGATGTCCTGAAGGCCCATTTATCTCATTCTGGACACAACAAGCAGTCAGAGTGAACAATGGTCAGTGCTTAAAAATCAGCCGACTTTATCTTAACACAGGGACTGCTGCCCCTTCCAGTTCCCCACCTTCCTTCCTTCCTTCCCTCCCTCACTCCCTCCATCCTGCCAGCGTTAATGTAGGTACCTGGCATTACCCAGGGAAACCGCACATAATAGCTTGGTCATTATGGTGTAGTAAGTGTGGTTCTTAATCTGATTGGAACAACACTGTTAATTCATTGTGCCCCTATTCTTCATTGGTTACTTCACAAAGCCATAATAAAAATGTCTTCACTGTGAAAGGATGAGAACTGTGAGAGAGGATGCAGAGGGGACAATAGTTATTATGTTATTATAATAAGTATTAATAATGTACCTACCTACTAATTCCACAAACGTCATCTGATCAGCTTCACACTTGGCATGTATATTGTAAATTGACAAAGTGCGGTGGTGCAGCTAGTTTGGTGCGATTTGGACACACGATAAGTTCCATATGAATAAACGTTGAGCAAACAAGCGCTCTGTGGCAGTCCAACAGGCAGTCTGTAGTCCGAGTTGAAATTTCTTCTACATCCACGGATAAAATAGTGGTCAACACCTGGCAGTCTAACAATATGTTTCCTGCCAGATCATTCTGAAATTCAATTTCATTTCAAGGAAAACATTGGCAGTAAAATGTTCATTGAGAATAAACAAAGTAGGATAAACACAAAGTCTTCTAACTTCCCTCTGCACCATAAACTGTTTATAAAGGTCTCTGCGCACATAAACAACACAAAGTGACAGTATTTGTGTTTTATTCGTCTTATTTGCATGTGTTTGATCCATCACTTAAATACTAGTCTTCTTGCCCCGATTTATATCACTCTCCATTGAAATACTCAATATGATCACACAGCCGATAATACCTTTGTCTGATTATAACTTTTATATTATTATAGCTTTTTTGTGTGTTGCTATACATTGGAGTTATTTCTTCTATATTAATCTTATTCCTCAGGGGGATTTGTACCTGACACATGTCTCTATCCAACTACAAACTGATTCTCACTTGAAAGCCCTCTCTCACAAACAGTCTTGATTAAGTGGAAGACTTGACAGCAGCTGCAGTGTCTCCTGCCCCATGTGTGCAGAAGTATCACCTTACAGGACTTTGCCCACAGACTGGGGTCACACCGTACTCTGTACCTGAGCAGACTTCCCCCTCTGCTGCCCCTCTCCTCTGACAGAAGCTGTCCTTCATGTGAGATGTGTTTGTTAAGCCACAGCACACTGATATCTACTCACCATGTCTGTCGAGTGTGTCTCTGTGCCTGTGTTCGAAGCTGTCACCGGATCCAATGCATTTAAGTGCGACTCCGGTGAATTTTAGAAACAGGAAACGCGGTGAAGCAGCCCTGCGCTTCTACTCCTTCACACAAGCCTGTGCACCGTCCTGCGCTTCTACTCTACTGTGCTCTTCTTACTGTCCTTGTCTCTGCGTCCTTGTCTCTTACTGTGATCTCTGTCGCTCGCACTTCTCCGGAGCTGCGTGTCTCTCGGTTTCCTTTATGGACTGGAGCTGACGCGTTCACGGTATTCCCGGAAATCTTACAGTTACAAAAAAGTGATCACGTGACTAATGATTGCGTTGTCCTGGCTACTGAAGCTGCTTTCAGACAGGGGACCCATCTCCGGATAATATCCTGACTTTCTCTGTAAGGGCTGTGTGGAAGAACGGGACTCTCCAAGTGAGAACTTCCAGACTTTCTCTTGGTTAAAACTGCAGGTTCATGTCTAAATAAGCCTAAAACTCCCTGGATTAGGAGACTTAATGACAAAATACACATCTTCTCAATTACAATAAGTTACATTTCAAGGTCATTTGTATCTGATTATTTTTATATTTTGCTGCACATTCGAGAGGTAACACTAAGAGAACATCTTGCTGTAGAGGAGCCCACTGACAGGTAGTTACTTGATTTGCATTGCATAAGATTAAACCAATGGTTCCAGCATTCCACTAAAATGAACAGTGTCTGTTCCCTGTCATTTTTCAGATGTATATGTCCAAGTTAGAGAAAAGTTCAGTGAAATATAAAGGTTTAAAGTTGTTTCTCATTTCCATCTGACAACCCTTTAGGTTGGCAACCACAGGACTCTAACTGTTTATAAACTAGTTCAAACTAGCTCCATTCAAACCAGATACAACATCACAAGGGTTCACCCATTCTGGTGCGAAATATCTGAAATATTGGGGAATCGGCCAGGTTCGGCTTTACCATTACACCAACGATTTTGTGACAGAATAATAATACCAGATATGCAACGGATAACAATGCAACATTTTAAAAGTTGGTCTTATCACAGCTGAAAGACATATACAAACTGGCAAATGGCAAAAGAACATGGTAAAAGAATGGAGGAATGAAAAATATGGACAAATAATGTTTGAAGAATTAATAATAGAGGGACATGGGAACACTTCCGGTTTAATTGATATTGATATTTTGATATATATATATATATATATATATATATATATATATAGATTGTTAATAAACCCCTAGTGTCCATAGTTTTATTTTATTTCATATTGTGTTATATGGTGGGCCACCCTCTCTTAGATAAATCTGTAGTGTATCTGATATGTGGCATGCTGCACTGTTTTGTTGTGCAAAATATAATTAAAGACATTTGAATTGGGTTGTGAAAGTTATTATATAATATATCTGGATTTGGTTAGTTTGTCAACAATTATTCTTAAATGTTGAGAAGTTCGTCATATGATTGGGTAACAACAACTATACAATAAGTCATTATGCTGCCTTTGAAAGTCTATTACTGTAAGCTATTTTATCATGTTTCAATTCACCTAAAGGAGTAAAAGTCAAATGAAGCTCCTTTTCTTATTGATCTAGGCGACCTGGAGAGCATGAATCTGAGACAACATCTGTTGATAATAACATGCTGTGATGTCAATAAGGATTTTCCTCTCATCCTTCGTTGAAATGCATTTTCATTTTTTCCCCTTAAAATTACAAGGGGCACCTGAATGCAGCACTGAGACTCAGTGTTTTCCTTATCTCCCTCATGCAGCAGGGAAAGTGGACTAAGTGCACAGCAGCTACTTTATAAACATACAGGTCTTTGTTTGTGGGATGTTCAGTGAGTCTGCTAGTAGCCGACTCTTCCTCTCTGTACACTTCATGTCATGAACATAGTGTATGTCCAGCAGGCCTTTACAGACTTCACTGTGTAGACCATTGTGTGCTGTGCATGGCCACTTAAGGGTGTTGCCCCCTTATGGGCTGTGCACAATTTTAAGAGGGTGACAGCTGGTCCATCCTTATGAGAACTATGTGCAATATTCATACAATATCCTCAAAGGGACTTCTTATATTGCACTGACTGGCTTTTATGATACTTTTATTATTTCCTTCAGCAATTCTGTCATGCACTGTTTGAACTATTGTGTTAATAACGTCACAAAATCTGTTAAAAAAAATAACATGGTGCTCTTATACTGCAGTTCTTACACATACAATAAGTCTCTGCTATGACGTGTGTTGGGTGACATCTGCAACAGAGTGTCGCTGACTTTTCTGAGGGTGGATGGTTGGTCATAAGTTATTAAAAGCAACTGCATGGAAAACTACAGACTCTGTGCTGTTATGTGTGCATCGCTGCCAAACTTATGATAAGGGACTGACAGCCCGACAACACCACTCCACTGTACCTCAACTACATCACTCACATGGGCAATTCAAATTCTTTCCAACAGTCTTCTATTCATTCACCGTGGATTAACATGGCAAACAAGACAACCTCAGACAAACTTCATCCATTTATGCAGAAGGTCCAGACATAATTCAGATATTCAGACGTGCTTACATCGTAAGAAGTTGCTGCATCTGTGGACGCAGAAAGAGGAAGTAACCAAATGGAGAAGGGAAAGGTAAAAGAGCTCATCAGAGGGTTGAAAGGATCAAAAACAGGAAGTAGGGTAATTCACACGTTTCGCCCTGAGACCTTAAGGAGGAAATAACTTTGTTCATGCAAATTTTGTGAAACATTGAAATCCACCAAGCTTGGTTAAGGTGGCTGAATGAAACACTGACTTAGATTCAATTAAATTGTATTCATATACTGCCAAATTACAACTTACATTATCTAAAGGTACTCTACACAGTCATATTCTAGCTCTGTCAGACAGGTTGTTATAATGATGGGATATTTATAGATGTAAATTTGATGTTAATGATGGCAGCACCAGATAATAACAACAGATAAAGCGAAAGAGAAAGGCAACGAGAAAATAAATAAACTTGGTGAAGGCCATTACTCTAAAAAGAATTAAACTTTGCAATAGCCTCAGTTTACAAACAAAATTGACTTAGCTTTGAAAGGTTGTGTGTATTTTTTCAAAGGTTAAATGTCATCCCCTTAGAATCAATTTGATTCTGAGCAGCAGGCAGAATGAGAGTAGAGCCCATCAGGAATATGAAACTGCAGAAATTGTGCTTTGGTAGGAAAAATGTGTTTCAAATTTAAAGTGAAGTTCTCCCATGGCCTTTAGATATTTAGATGGAATTGATTGTTTTATTACAAAACCCTGGAAATATCACACTAAGAGAAAAACACTATAATTATTTGATTATATTCTTTGCTGTGGGCATGGAGCTGCTCTTTCTAGCCATGCACTTCATTAATGACATGACATTATTGGTAGCATTAGGGAAATGCTGGTCAAATTCCCCTTAAATACCTGCTGTAGAGATACTGTTTAGAGATCAAGCACAGAGAGTCCAACCTTCTGTAAACAGAGACTAAAATACAAAAGAGTAAACACCTAATCCTATGAATGCTCTTCTGTTTGTCGTCTGTTATCAGCCTGGTCCTGTGACCTCCTCTATTTACCATGTCACACTTTGCCACCAAACCCCAGGTAATGCTGTTGATCAGAGAAGGTCATGTTACTGTAAAATCACTAGTTTGAAATGGTGCCAGTTGTTTTCTGTGACAGATCAACAGTGAAATCAACACTGTCACACATTGTGGTAGATCATAAGTTAATATATATAGCCTGTATAGCAGCAGTAT